AGGCTTGTACACGTGACAACCAGATTTTGGGGGTATTTTTGAGTTTATTATAAAAATGTCCGCATTTTATTGTAATGGTTGAGTTTTAGGCTGACTTGTCTTGGTGGGTTAAGACGAGTGCCATCACGTCTATTTTTGGGTCGTGACATCATCTTGGCTCCTAGACATTTTTATCCTCTTCCATGCAGTTATTACACATGAATTATCACCAATCTTCTAAAATTAATTAGCTTCTTTGAGAAATATTTTTGTGAAGTAGTAATTTGTGTTAGAAAGTATGTTTACCATGAGCATTGCAGATATATGATAATGGTACTATGTTCACGCATTACAATTAAATGTTGATATTACTATGTTCATTATTAGGTTGATAGTTTTTTTAAAAGTTTATACCACTACATAGTGTCTAGTGGCCTTTTATTAATAATATAATTAAAAGAAAATTTCAACAGAGATAATAAAGCTAGACCTTATCTTACCAATAGTAATTTTCAATATTGATAAAATTTGTTATTTAGATTTGACGTAGCGATTGGTCTGATACAAACACAAATTGTAATTAAGTAATTCAATTTTATTTTTATATAAAAATATTATCTTTTATGTCACAAGAATAGACAAAAACTAAATTTCGGATGGATTTAGTATAAGAGTTTTACTTCTGTTAAAACTAAATTTATGATGGATTTAGTATAAGGTTTTACTTCTGTTTTTACTTTGTTGAATAGGGATTTACATCTCTATTTTTTCTTGGAACTTTGTATGGATCCAATGTAATCAAGTTTCTGCGTATATTCGGCTGAATTTCAATGTTGAGCTTTAGCCTTTTTTTCTTTTAAAAAAAAGATAAATTTGGCTAAATTTTAGTGGAAAAATAAAGGATTATTTTGGGAAATCATTGGTATATCATATTGGGCGCACCGCACGATGTTGGTTGGACCCTTGGGTTATTTTTTCGCTAGGTTAAATCAACAATGATCATTGGTTGTTTTTTCTCGCTACTATTGGGGCTGACAAACATCTTCATGCTTCACGAGATCAAGAAGAATAAAATTAATGGCTTATAATAAAATTTTAATAAGAATTCTTAAATATATTTAAATACATAAAAAAGAATAATAATTTAGAGTTGTCTTTTTTATTTTCACATATTTGTTGTTTCTAGTGTAATATTTTTAAATAAAATAAAGCTTTCAATAATATAAAAACTAAGAACTAATTCTAGTTAATAAGATATTAGTCATGTGTTTACAATACATTACCCTTGGATGTTACTGGAAAAACTTTATTTATTAATTTCAACATTTGAGTTAATTAATTCAAAGTTTTAAAATATTTGTGTTTTTTAAAAGAAGTAAAAATTGCTCATTGTTTTATACATATCTAAGGAAAAAATTGTTATGCATTCATATGCACCGTGAGGTTCTAGACAAGTATTAAGTCCACGCAACAATAAATAAAGAATATTGCTATAATTATTTAATGGCAATATATAGTATAATTTTTGTTATAGCATATTTAGAGACAATAATAAATATGGGTATATAAAAATCAACACTATAAATAAATGTCACTAAAATTTTTAGACATTTTAAATGCGACGACGTTAAATATTTTTACGACAACTAAAAGAAATTATTGCCACTAATGATCTCTTTTATGGCAGTGACACGCCATGAAGTTGAAATTTTTGTGCTTGACATTCACTTAAATAAAGTAAATAAAAATCTCTTTGAAATTTTGTTCACCAACTGATCCAGATATCTCTAATTTTTACCCATTTCTTGCTTCTAGTCATGTCATAAAAGAACAAGTATGAGAACATAAACGCCATAGAAATCGAAATGATCTTAGTGCATAAATTTCTCTTTGATATTGCACAACTCTGATGAGTAATTGGGCGTTGTTTTTATAAGTTTTTTTCTAGTCATTTAAATTACCAATGAAGGTTTGATGATTTGGGAAATTTGGCAATGAAGGAGAGTTCAGACATAACTGAGCAAAATAAAAATATGAAAAAATCACTTACTATTTAGTATTATTGAAAATATTTAAACATTGCAACATCCCATAACTTTTTTTATATTAATTGGAACGAAAGATATAATATTTGATTATCATTTCATTACTATCCTTATAGAGTTGCTAAAATATCAGGAGTTGGACCAATTCCTACTTGTAACCAAGAAGAGCATTTATCCAAATTCACATCTTTAAGGTTACTCAATTTTGCTTCTTTGGCATTTCGATTTTCATCCCTACTCAAAGAATCTTTGTAGTTGTGATTTTGATTTTGATTAGTATCGTCTTTCCATAGCTGGAGTTGGCTTCTTGGGCCTTCGTGTTCAAATGGATTATTGTATAGTTTCAAGCCAACTTCAATTGGATTGCCTAGTTGTGCTGGAAAATTTAAATCTAGTGGTTGATGAGAGTTGATAAATAAAGGCTTGTTGTATAGTACTTGTTCTTGGTTGTGATATTGGATTTCTTGAAAAGTAGGTATAAAGGTAGTCTCTGGCAAACTTGATGTTAGCCAGTGACACCTTTTGTGTCCGCCCAAGGCTTGTCCAGATGAAAAGACTCTATGGCAAATCGAGCATTGATGAACCCTTGATCTTTTTCTTGAAAATGAGCTTGATGATGTTGGAGATTGAGATTGAAAATCGTTAGATTCTTGATGCAAAATTAAATCACTAGGAGAGATCATTGAGTCTTCATAATCAACGGCATTATCATCATCGTTGTTATTATTGTTGTTATTGTTTTCATCATCTTTAATGTTGTCATCGAGTTTTGCAGCATAACACCCTTTAACTTTCTTGTGACTCGCTCTATGTCCCCCTAAAGCTTGGTGAGAATTAAAAAATTTCTTACATCCTTTACATTGAAACATTCCCTTTTCCACTTCTTTAGCCTTGTTTCTAGCCTCCTTGTTATTGTTAGCGGACAAATCATAAGATTTGTTCGATAACATAACTAAACAATTCGCGAGATCTTCTTCTTCTTCTCTTGAACAATGTTGTTTCTCTTTAACATCATGACCATAATAATAATACTCCGATTTCTCAACATCTATATGATCATGATCACTTGTTGATCGATTATTCTCAAACATTAATCGATTTGAATTAGTACGTAGATTATACGAGTGTTTTTGACCCTCCAATTTTTCCCTTCTAAAATTATTCATCATATCTTTTTGTTCACTAATTTCTTCTCCATAGTTTCTATTACTACAACTATTATCACCTACTGCTCCATGAGATCTCATGTGCCCACCTAGTGCCCCAGCACTATTAAATCCCCTCTTACATACTCTACAATAGAGTAATACAACATGACTTGATGGTTCATTTTTTTGGCTATTATTATTATCCACTATTATTTTCACTCATTTTACACTAAGAGTACTAAAAGAGAAGTGGTATATATAAATAATTATTAGTTAGTGACAGTAGCAAAGTGAGGGAAGTTATCCTAGTTTATAGTTGATGTTAATTGAATGTGGATGAGAGTTAAGGCATAAAACATGTTTGTTACAAGTGGAAGGTTTTGTTCCCGTGTGGTAGAGAGATTATTTCTAATTCGTATGGTTATTGTGTCATGTTAGTATTTTTACAGTCAAAATTTACTTACTCAAAATTACACATTTTAAGTAATATGGTACTTATAAAGAAATTTGTAAGGTTATAGTGGACTACTTTACTAGTGTGACCTCTAGATACGTATGTATGTACAAATATGTAGAATTTTTTTAAAAAAAATAAACATTTTTACTCATTTAGAGATAATTATAATTAATTGTCCAAAAATGAGGATAATTCATACAGAAACTAAATGAGTAAACTTAGTTGGAGGCTTGAAACAGAAACTTATGATATGTTTGATGTGGCTGTTGAAGCCCTTTGTTTTAATTTCTGGCCGCACGGAATCTCCATAGCCAATTTTCCATTTTTAATAGAAGGTGCTGTCTTTGGTACTACTATTATTTTACACGATCCAGGAACTTCCATAACATGGCCTATAGGTGAATAAAGTGAGTGAAAATAAAAATATCAAGATTCAATTTTTTGTAGAATCGAAAATTCTAAAGCGTTATTTTTATATTTATTTATTTGTCTAAATGTTGGTGGACAGAATTATCGCGTAGTAATTGTATTGATGGAAAATAGCAGGTACTTGATAAAATAATTCATGTTATATTGGTAAATTGAACTTTACACCACTATTACCAACAACAACAACAATAAAAAAGTTTTTGTTTATGGTATAGAGAGAGAAAACATCTTTTTGGATATTCAAATTTTCTCATGTTTGGTTTGTCAAAATTAATATTTTGAAAAATATTTTATTTAGAAAAAAATACTCATTAAAAATAAGGACAATGACTTCCCTAATAATATTAAGTATATACCGAAAACAATGACTCCCCCCCTCCCCCCCAATGGCCCTTCCCCTCTCTGCCCAATTATCGTCTCACACAAAAAGAAAGAGCATCAGCCCGACCTGTAGGTCCGTAACTCCCACTCCTTTACCATCCCACCCCCTACCACCCCTGATCCTCACTTGGCCACTCCACCCTTTCATAATGTTTTCCTAGATTATATATAAATATTTTTAGAATAATATTATTTTTTTCTTATTTACCAAACACAAAAAATAAGTAAAGCACTCACTTATTGATTTCAAGACAAAGTCTTTCCTTCATACCAAACACACCCTATCTTATGAGTCTCATGATATAGTTGTGGTTTGGCTTAAGTCATACACCGCCCCCTAAAGTTGTCCGCATAATTCACTTAGATACTTTAACTAGGGCTAGCTTGTACCTATCGAACACCTTGACCATTCTGAATTTGAACCAATTAGACACTTTGTGCATATGTGGCACAAAAAGTGGGACTCACGCCTTATTGGGCGCGTGAATCATTTAATCAAACACATTTTCAACCTTTTTTTCTCATTATTTTTTTAAAAAAAACAACAATCTTTTCCAATTTCCTCTCCTTCAAAATTGCACGACCCCTGCTTCTCCTATTTCTTCATAACAATCCACCATCAACATTTTTTTACAAATTTACTTCTTCTAAGTTTATACTTAAATTTGATAAAAATTCCAACGATGCAGGCAATAAGAAATCCATACTTCACTTTATTTCTTACATTTCAAGCCCTAATCTGTTGTTTATCATAATTTTATCCCCGTTAATAGTAATTTTATTGGAGAAGATAAACCCTAGCTTTGTTGTACACAAGGACACCTCTTCATATATTTTTTTACCTTCTTGTCAATTATCATTGTATCAATTTTTCAGATTTAGAATTATATTCTGCCGTCATTTTCGCCGGAAAAATTGAAAACTACCATCCATATTTTTTTGCCAGAAAAAATGGAGACCATATACACCACCCCTGATCCACACCCCTTCTTCCTCCACAACAAAGCAGAATCAAAATTCGAAATCAAAATTAAAAAAGGAAGAACATATTTTTTTAAGAAAAAACCAGCATCAATTTAAAATAGGAATAAAAAATACGGCATAAAGAGAAACAAAAATGATGAATTCATACTTAGTATATGTTAAAATCTCAGTTTTTTTTCCAAGATGAACAATAACAATGGTGGACAAGGGATATCATTTAGGGAAAGAGAAGAAGGGGGAGGTTTGGGGTGGGTGGTGGTGCGGCAGGTCGGGTGGGGGTGGTTTAAGTAGATTTTTCTTTTTTTTAGTTGAAACTTTTTTTTTAGATTTAGATTTTTTTTTATATTTAAATTTCATTTATTTAAAATAATTAAATTAAAATGCCACATGTCTTCGTGTCAGAAAAATGTTTGATAGGTATTTATTTTTTAAGATTGAAGTATCTAATAGGAAAATGAATGTGTTGAGGTATCTAAGTGAAATATGCAAACAACTTTAAGGGGCCGTCAATGACTTTTAAGCCTTGTGGTTTAGTTGGGAGACTATTTCTGACTCTTCATGTGGTCATAGTGTTAGCATTTTTCAGTCAAATCAATTCACACAAAATCACATTATTGTACTAAAGTTGTAAATTTGTTGGACTATTTTTATCAACACCAACAGAAAATTACAACGTAACTCTTCGAAAAGTCAAAAGAAAGTAACATTTTAAAGTAATTATAGTAATTACCTATCTTATAAATTAAATGAAGAATACTTCATTCAAAAAGAAAATGAGTATGATAATTGCTATAGTTTGGAGGCTCGGAAAAAAACTTATGATATGCAGTTAACACTATGACCTATTGATAAATGAAATAAGCGAAAATAAGGTAAATCGAGGTTTAATTTTAATAGAAACGAAAAAAATCAAGGGTGATTTTTTCATTTATCATTTGTTTATGTTTAGAGTTATCCGATTTTTCTAGTGATAGGAGATAGTAACTAATAACTATTTGATAATTTAGTTAATATTGCATGCAAGTTGGATCTAACGCGAATATCTATGGTAAAAAAACAACTTTTGCTAGTGTGTGTATACATATATATAATCCATTATAATGTAATTAGCTTTTTCAGATATGGCTATAAAAAGTCGAAATGTAAGCCATGCTATTTTCATCATGTCCTTCACTACAATTCTTGCAACATAATTTATCCACATTAATGACTAATTTATGACATTTGCAATTTTAAATGTGATATGTGTCATTGATATCCACATATACCGTTATGCACCACCAAAGATGGGATCTGGCTCCCCTCCACTTGAGGAAATGGAGGGAAAGGGTAATGGAGGGGAGCTAAATTCCCACTGGAGATGGCAATACAATGGATATAATCCATTCACCTTTAGTTAATCAGATATTTCGAGTTTGAATTTCGAAAAATCGAAAAAATCATGATTAGAACATTTCCACAGATAAGGTACCATTAAGAATTCTGGCAAGGGAAAACGAAAAATTGAATTTTCTTTGTTGGTATAGCTAGTCTCAATGACAAAATCTAAATTAGAGAATTATTAATCCTAGTATTGAAGCTATGATTAATTAGTACTATATATATAATCTAAAAGCAGTTCGGCAATGAAACAAACACTTTTTGAACACGTGAGGAAGAAAGAGATATATATTCACGTGACAAGAAATGAAAGAAATTATAGTTTGTCCATTTGTGGGCGAACTATCTTTAAAGTTGGTGTAATATTATTTTGGATGAATTGAGAGTTAACAGGGATGACGGGGGTTAAGGGATGCTAGTTATAGTTCGTCCATTGTCCTTTTTGGTGTATGTTTTTAGAGAGAGTCCATTTTAGTGTTTAGGGTTCAAAAAGTGTCCGTTTTGATGCCGGACTCTATACTAAATGGGAATTCTCTAACGTCCAAAAACCCAATGAAAGAACAAAAAATGTGACCTAAATTTCCCAGAGCTTATATATATAATTATATAAAAATGCATATAAATAAATCTCCAAGTTTTTACAAAAATAAATAAATAAAATCATTTGTTTACAAGAACAGAGATACATCAATATAATGGTGACAATGCACATTCCGTCATGCTTACTATAACAACAACTACACCTCGGTTCCATACGAGTTAGGATTGGCTATATTCCGTCGTGCTACTGCAAAAATAAAAGACATTACTAGGATTTGAACTTGCAATATATTTCAAACTTCAACTATCATAAAACTTTCTATACAAACAAATAAGCTCACTTGCTCTTTCTCTAACTTGGTTTCTAATTGGGTATATATATATATATATATATATATATATATATACAAAC